TATAGCCCGCACCTCCAGGGAATGTGGCTGCCTCTGCCTCATAGTTACGGCTTCTGCTGAGAGGGCACGGCTAGATCGAGGTTGGAGCGCGGTCTAGGGCGCAGATATTACAAATATTGGCCGAGAGGCGGCGCAGTTCCGCAGTTTACAGCTTGGCCCGGAGACTCTGCGCGCCGGCGGGCCATAGGTGCGCAGGCGCAGAGGACGCAAGGAGCGGCTTAATATTATCTTGCGGAGGGATAAATTGAGAGGAGGGGCGTGGCTGCGAAAGCGCGCAAACAGGGAGGCGTGATTCAACCAAATTCCCCTCGCCTATTTGCTGCTGCCATCAGGGGCGTGGCCTAGGTGCCCCCTTCTCGGAAATGAGGGCGGGCCGAATCTAGTTTTTCCTCCGCGTCTGAGGCGTTGCTTAGAGAGAGTCCTCGAATCGCCCTTCAGCGATTGGCTACCTCACTTAGGGGGCGTGGCCAGACGAGCCGTCCATCCTGGTGCGGTCACTTCCTGTGGAGTTTCCCCAATCCTGAGAGGAGGGGGAAGGGGACGAGGGGGAGGAGGGCGGTCGTCCCGGGTTAGGTTGAGGCGGGGGTGTCGGTCCGTTCGGGGCGGGGGATGACTCACGGCCCATCCCATCTCCCCGACGCCGCCCGCCCGCGCAGAACTAGTTCCATGGCTTAGCGGAGGAGGAGGCAGTGGCGACCGGGGGGGGAGGGGGACTCTTATTTTGTTAGGGGGACCGGGCCGAGGCCCGACCGGCCTGGCAGGGCTCGCCCGGGCCGGGCGTCATGTCTCATGCGGCCGAGCCAGCTCGGGACGGCGTAGAGGCCAGCGCGGAGGGCCCTCGAGCCGTGTTCGTGCTGTTGGAGGAGCGCAGGCCGGCCGACTCGGCCCAGCTGCTCAGGTGCGGGGCGGCCTGGGGCTGGGAGTGCCAACTGGGGTTCTTGGGGGCCTGGTCTGGGGGCAGTGGGGACCCCGCACTGGGATTGGAGGCCCTCGGCCTAGGCTTGGAGGACGTCGGGGCGCCCGTCTTGGGGGGGCACCTAAGAAATCTGGCAGTGGCCTGCTTTGAGACTTAAAGGAGTCGTGGAAGTGCATTAAGGGGGGCCTGGCCAGATTTTGGGGGACTCTTGACTGGGTCTAGAGGGGTTGATTCTGGAGTATCCAGAAATTGGTCTAAGGGAGCTGAACTTGAGGGACTGGGACTCTGATTAGAGGCTGAATTTGGGGTCCTTGAGTGAGGCATGAGGGGACACTCTTTTTTTCCCTCAGTGTGGGAGAAGGGGTCCCAGGTGCTTGGTGAATCTTCAGTAGCTGGTTACTGTGTTGGGGGATAACGTGAATCTGGAGAGATCTGTGGCTATCGCAGATATACTCCCTGAGACCAGCCTTGTGAGTGTGAGTGAATGATCAAGAAAAGCAACATCCAGCAAGACTTGACCAAAATAATCCTTTCACCCCTACCCCGCCCTCCCCAACCTCCCCCCCAGCTGGGGCAGATCCCAGGGATAGTGGGAAAGCCCTCTTCCCACACTTCCATGGCGGCTTGAATGGGAGACAGCCAGGCAGACAGTGGGGATGGAGATGATGTTACCTCTTAGCTCAGAGAAGGCCTCAGACCTTATTTGGGAACCCAGAGGAGGGTCTTGTTCCTGCTGCCACTTGCCCATGACTCTCAGCCAGCCCTGCCCACTCTCTACCCACACACTCTTCTTTTTATCTCGCCCCAGTCTATCTTTCAGCTCCTGGGGATAATCTTGAATCTGTCCCCAGAGCTGGAACGAGTACAGATTGCACCATCTCTGCCTGGGTGGGTCCTCTCTGGCCTCTTCTCATCTGCACCTCCATCAGCAGGCTTTGGAGCTCTAGTGCTCCCTGCCCAATCCAGCGCCCATCTCTTCAGAACTTCTGTGCAATGGGTGTGTGAGCATGGGAGGGGTCTTTGCCTCCTTTCTGCCTGGGATTGTGCTGAGCTCAGCAACTCCCCAAGCTTCCTCTTCCCGACTTCCTGGGTGGTTTTAGGGCCCCATCTGAGTGTGAGGAGAGGAAGGAAGACAGATCCTTGGGAAGGGGAGAGAATTCTTATCAAGTGAAGTCACCCACAATCCCCCAGGATTCTAAATGCCTGACTAAATTCAAGGATGCATATTCATCCACGTGTGTGTTAGTCTCACCTGCACACTGGGGTCCTTGGACCCAGCATGGCAGACTGAGCAGGAGCCTTTCTGTATTCTCTATTCACCATCTTCTAATTCCTTTATCACAACCTAGATCATCACAGTAGTGGGCATAGCTGAAAGGGAGGGGTGTACATGGATTGTTATTTTGTGTGCCAATGGGTGTTGGTAATTGGGGGTGTGTATGTGTGTTTTGATCTATCCAAAAAACAGGAGAGGGCTGGGCAGACTCCTCCGGCTAAGAAAAGAATGCTCGTATAAAGCAGATCATCCACCCCAGTTCTCCCTCTTGCAGAACCAGACTATTGGAGCGAGGGGAGCCTTTGATATTTCCATTTTTGTATTTGGATGTGTGTTGGCATCTCATGAACTCTGGCTGGGGCTGGGAAAAACTCCTGCAAAGTGGTAGATCCTTGTCATAAACCCCAGTTCTCTTTGTGATGCATTCAGTTTGTGTTACAATGGACTGTTAGGCTGAGGGATGTCCCTACTTGCTGTGTGTGTGTGTGTGTCCACACCTGGGCCCACATTCAGCTGTAAAGAAAACAGTAGGGGGTATGGAGGCTGGGAGAACTCTGAATACAAAGTCAGAAATCCTTCTGTAAAGTCCCTTGTTATTCCTAAATTCTTGTTTTCCTCAAACCCAGGTTGTTGTTAAGGTGAGGGGGTTGGGATCCAGGCCCTCTCACTATTCTGACTCTTAAGTGACTATGGGTAACAGCATTCAAGAGTGGGGAAGGGAAAGGATGTGGGAATTTATGGTGATGGTAACCAGCAGGGTGGCCAGGTTTGAAAGAGTTTCTCTCTTCCCTCCCGGCTCCCTCTTCCTCCCCCCCATCTCTCTCTCTCTGTCTCTCTCTCTGTCTCTCTCTCTCTCTCTCTCTCTCTCTCTTTCTCTCTCTCGGGAGGGCTGGGGAATAAGGTCTCCCTTCAGTCACTGACCACCACCCCTACCTCCCCCCTACCCTCAGCCTGAACTCTTTGCTTCCGGAATCTGGGATTGTTGCTGATATCGAATTAGAAAACGTCCTTGATCCTGACAGCTTCTACGAGCTCAAAAGCCAACCCCTACCCCTACACTCAAGGTATGACTCACCTATCTGACTTCCCTCCCAATTCCTTAGCCCCCCTCTCCCCTCTTGATGGGCAGAGGCCCTCCATACCAGCCCAACCCATTCTCTCACCAGCCTGCATTTTTCCAGATGGTAAAATTAGGGGCCAGAAAGAGTGTGTCACACAGGAAAGCAGGTGGTTAAGCTAGGATTCCAGCATCTCTAACGAGACCTCCCCTGCCTACCCCACCTGCACACCCATTCATACACAAATATTCCAGCCAGCCTGGAACACCCAGAGACAAGGCTTGGCCTGCTTAAACTCACACCCCCAGGTGGGTGGAGCCATCCCCCCAGCCCCTACTCAGCCCCCTCCCACACTCTACAAACTCACCCACCCTCAGCCCTTGGGGACCCCCTGCTGGTCTCTTCTTTCCCCTAGCTTGGAAGTCTAAATGTGCTGAGTCATGGGCCTGGGCTCTAAGAGAGGGGAGGGGACCTGGAAGAGGGGCAGGAAGAGAGGATTGTGAAATCCCTGAGATTTTCAAGACAGACTAACTCCTGGGACCAGAGGCCCAGGCAGGGGAGGAAGAGGGGCCTGGTGCTGCCCTTATAGCCTGATGCCCACCCCCAGGAGCTCAGAGAGCATCACTAGCTTCAAGTTGGGCTTAGGAGCCCTCTGCATCCACATTCTACTGCCACAGCTTCAATTCTGCTTCAGCTCACCTCTAAATAGGATAAGCCCCCTCTCACAGAGCAGAGCAATAGCATTTCTACTTACTACATGAACAGGCTCAAATCTAGGTATCACCATAGATCTGAGGGCTAAAATTCCCCCACCAGACTATGACCTCTGAGTGCTGGGACCATGTCTGATTCCAGTGTCTCCTCTAACAAACTATGAACCCTGAGGGCTGTCACCAGTCCTGGTTCCTGTGTCTCAGCCTCCACACTGTAGCCTCTGAAGGCAGAGAACAGGCCTGGTTCCTGTGTCTTCTCCATCACACTGTGACCCCTAGGCTCAGGATGAGACGTTTAGCTTACCTGTGGCCCCATATTTCCCATTCCACAGCCTCCCAATATCACTGCAGGCCACACCAACCACCCCAGCTACACTCTCTGCATCGTCTTCTGCAGGGGGCTCCAGGACCCCTGCCATGTCGTCATCTTCTTCATCGAGGGTCTTGCTGCGGCAGCAGCTCATGCGGGCCCAGGCGCAGGAGCAGGAGAGGCGTGAGCGTCGGGAACAGGCTGCAGCGGCTTCCTTCCCCAGTCCTGCACCTGCCTCTCCTGCCATCTCTGTGGTTGGTGTCTCTGCTGGGGGCCACACATTGGGCCGTCCACCTCCTGCTCAGGTGCCCAGGGAGGTGCTAAAGGTAAGACGAGGTCCAGAGGCCTTGGAAGGAGGGGGCTCCTGGTGACTGAAGAGTGGTCCTAGGAGCTAGGGGTGGCCTGGGCTTCCTGGTGGCAAAGTCCTAGGGGCTCAAAGGAATGTCCCTGGTACTGTTTAAATGGTCTGTGCTCATATCCCAAATGTGTAGAGTTTCTGAGGTATTCTTGTGGGGTTGTGAGGGGTTCTTGAGGCCATGAGGATGTCTTGGTGGATGATGAAGGGTCATGAATGCCTCAAATGGGTCCTGGCTTTGTAGGAAGAGCTTCGTGTGTGTGATTCGTTAGCAGTTCTTTGGCCATTAGGGCATCTGGGGAAGCCATATATGGTTCCCAGGTCTGTTAAGTGGTGTTAGAGACTGGACGGGGGAGTCTTGGAGACTGTGATGAGTTTTCCAGAAACTGTGAGGGATCCTGTCAGCCATGGGTGGATCTTGGGGGCTGTGAAGAATTTCAGAGGGAGTTCGGGTCCTGGGGGAGATGCACCAATATCTTTGGGGGATTTTCAGATTCTACTGGGGGTTCTCCAGTTTGTCTGCCTGAGTCTAGGAACAGATGAGTTGGGAGAGTCAGGCTGGGGCTCAGAGTTACCCTCCAGCCTTGTTCTACCTTTCCCCTCCCTTTCCTCATCTCTCTTATCTCACAGGTGCAGACCCACCTGGAGAACCCGACGCGCTACCACCTACAGCAGGCGCGCCGGCAGCAAGTGAAACAGTACCTGTCCACCACACTTGGGCCCAAGCTGGCTTCTCAGGCCCTCACCCCACCGCCAGGGCCCACTAGTGCCCAGCCGCTGCCTGCGCCTGAGGCTGCCCACGCTACCGGCCCCACAGGCAGCGCTCCCAACAGCCCCATGGCGCTGCTCACCATCGGGTCCAGTTCAGAGAAGGAGGTAAGAGGCTGCAGCCAGCCCTCACATACTGCCACCACCCCAAATTCTTCTAACCTTGTACAGGATTTATTTCTTCCCCCAGATTGATGATGTCATTGATGAGATCATCAGCCTGGAGTCCAGTTACAATGATGAGATGCTCAGCTATCTGCCCGGAGGCACTGCAGGGCTACAGCTCCCCAGCACAGTGAGTCCTTGAGATGGGAGGTTTGTCTGAAAATGAGGGAACCCCTGTATCACTGAGACCACACCCGTGCTGGCTTGTGGATATGTGGGACCCTTACCGTGGATTATGCCGAGATGTAGAGGGAGGCTTGATGGCAAGAATGGGGCGTACCAGTGCCCTTGGGCCTTGCTGGACTGCTTGAGAGGTGGGCCTTGTACACCTTGGGATATAGGGGGTGGGGAGTTCACAGAAATACTAGGGCACACTAAGGTGCTAGGTGCTCAGGCTTTGCTGTGAGAAGTACCAAGAGGGTTGGCCTCTCAGCTATTTGAGTGTACCAAGGGATTTGGGTCATTGGGACATACCCTAGACCATGTAGTGATGGGAATATACCAAGTCTTTTGGAGTGAACTGTGCCAAGAGGTTGGGTCCTCGTAGACAGTGGATAAAACTTTCTAGAGCAAGGGATGTACCATTGTAACATTGTGGTTCTCAGACATTCCAAGAGTCTCATAACTTGCTTTGGAACATACCTAGTGGTTATAGCTTTGTTTTTTTCCAACTTCTCAAGAGGGTAGAAGCATGTATAAAAATGGTACCAATTTATCAGAACTTTTTATTAATTTGGACACAGCTAGAGATTGAGACCTTATATTAAATGGATCCAGCAGATTGGAGGGGCTTTCAAGTGATGAAAACTCATCAGGAGGTGAGAGTTTGGTGTACTTCTAGATTAGTGTGCTGCCCTAGAGTGTATCCAGTATATAAAATCTAGGCTAACATAAAAGCAGTGCTAGTTGACTAGTTGGACGAGAATCTCCTGAGAGGTTAGGGTACGCAGGAAGATGCCAGAGTCAGGACCTTGGTACATGGCAGCAGGAGACTGGTATGGAAGGTGGTGTGATTTGATCTTAGCAAAAGACTGAAGATTAGGTTGGAACTCTCCAGAAGGCCAGATTTTGGATGGAACGTTGCCATGACAATTTACCAAAGTCTGAGAAGATTGGGTTGGAGTGTTTCAAGAATGCTGGATTGGAATGTTGTACTGGGAGGAGCTAACAGACTGGACTGTCGCATCAGAGCTGACAAAGACCTAAGAACGTTGGTTTTCTGCATTTCTTTTTAGACCTAGCCCTGGGATGTGGGAGAGGTGCTTCAGAGGTCACTGAGGAATATGAGGAGCTAGGGGTGGCAGGTGATAAGCTTGGCAGTCTCCAGTCTCCCAGCAAAGCAGGATGGGTCCAGTTTGCTCTGTCCTTCCTATTGGGTTGCCATGGGAAATTGCCTTGAAGGAGAATGAAAGGTTCTCGTGCTGAGTCAGCCAATCCTTGTGTTAGAGGGCCCCGTCTTTGGGATGTTTGGAGGGTCAGTAATCTGGTTCTGAGGAGGGGCTGAGCCTGGGGTCTGTTCCCAATCACTGTTTCTCTGCCCTCCCTGCCCCCAGCTCCCTGTGTCAGGAAATCTTCTTGATGTGTACAGTAGTCAGGGTGTGACCACGCCAGCCATCACCGTCAGCAACTCCTGCCCAGCTGAGCTGCCCAACATCAAACGAGAGATCTCTGGTAAGTGACAGGGTCTTGGCCCCACCCTGTACCCTGGGTGAGCCCCATGCCTACCAGGTCTGCAGGTGGGCCTGATTCTGGGGGAAAGGGCTCAGGCATACAGAAATGGGGACCATTTGCCCTCTTTTTCCATGTGGCCCATGGTCCTGCTTTTACCCCACTTCCTCTCACTTCCTCTTATCTTGGATTGAACAACTGGCTTGTCACCATGGCTTCACAAGAAATTGTAAAAGAAAGACACTTAAAAAAATTGGCTAAACAGGGTGGCTCATGCCTGTAGTCCCAGCTACTTGGGAGGCTGAAACAGGAGGATCACTTGAGCCCAGGCATTCAAGGCTGCAGTGAGCTATGATGATGCCACTGCACTCCGGCCTGGGTGACAGAGACCGTATGTCAAAGAAAAAAAAAAAAGTCACTTCCTTTGCCTACCAAACCCTACTTCAGCATCTGTACATGCTCCCTTCTTTCCCATGCCCAGAGGCCCTCACCACCCTCACTTTCTTCCAGAGACCGAGGCAAAGGCCCTTTTGAAGGAACGGCAGAAGAAAGACAATCACAACCTGAGTAAGCCAGACAGTGTGTGCCCTCGCTGCACAGCCCTCCCTTTCCCTGAGTCCCAGCCCCCCCATGGGGAGCCCCTCTGCAGCAGCCTCCCAGCTCCACTTTCTGTCTCCTCCCTCCTTGGCTGATTGATGACTCTTTCCCATTTTTTCTCTCCCCCTTCCTCCAAAGTTGAGCGTCGCAGGCGATTCAACATTAACGATAGGATCAAGGAGCTGGGCACTCTCATCCCCAAGTCCAGTGACCCGTGAGTGTGGCTGGGAACCTCAAGCCAGCGGGAGGTGGGGCGGGCGCCCCGTGCTGCTGAAGTTGTGCTTTGGTGGGCCCACCAGGCAGTTTTGCCCAGGCAGTTCTCCTCTGGCTCTTTCTCAGCCTGAGCGGGATTACACACCCTCACTGTTTGCCCACTGAACATTTAAGGTGCATGACATTATGGTCTGTGTGCCCCATCTGGTCCCTGTAGGGTATATACACCGACTTTTCTGTTCACTTAGCATGTCCGTTATTTATTCGAGATTTATTTATTGAGCCTCTGTTTTGTGCCAGGTACCATGCTAGGCACTGAGGATACCAGAGGGAACCAAACAGACAAAGATCCCTGACCTCATGGAACTGATGTTTTATTGAGGGCAGACAGATAGTAAAACAAGATAAAATGAGTAAAATCCATGAGATCTGCTATGATGAGTGTTAAGAGAAGAAAGAAGAGTAAAAGGAAGATGGGAGAATGATGCAGAGGGTTACAGTTCGGGGTATGGAGGGTGGGGACAGGGCAGGCCTCAACCGACAAGAAAAGAGAGCCTAAGGGGCTGAGACAGGGAGCCACGTGGGCATCTGGGGGAAGAGTGTTCAAGGCAGAGGGTGCAGCTGGGATTGAGGCCCTGAGATAGGAATGGTTTTCCATGTTCCTGCAGCACTGAGAGGTCAGTGTGGCTGTAGTAAGATAAATCAGAGGGACATAGGTGAGAGAGGAGCCATAAGGGATCAGGTGACAGAAGGCTTCCAGGGTTCGGAGTGTGATCAGGCACCGTTGGAAGGTTCCAGGTAGGGGTTTTCATCTGAGCACTCCATAGCTTTGATGTACCCCCACCTCAAGCTTTAGACATGTGGGGTGCTCTATCTGCCAGGTACAATCCCCCCCTCAGCACCTGAGAAACTCCTTGTGCAGCACTCTCTTCTTTTCTCCCACTTGGGCCCCACAGGGAGATGCGCTGGAACAAAGGCACCATCCTGAAGGCCTCTGTGGATTATATTCGCAAGTTGCAGAAGGAGCAACAGCGCTCCAAAGACCTGGAGAGCAGGCAGCGATCCCTGGAGCAGGCCAACCGCAGCCTGCAGCTCCGAATTCAGGTCTGGAAGGGGGAGATGGTGGCGGGGTAGGAGCGGGAGGCAGAGGAAGAACAGGCCAGGGTTTCCCCTCCTGTACTTGGGGGATCCCCAGGCTTCCCAACTCATGATGAGGAGGAAGATAGGTAATAATCATAACATTAACAAGAATAATAATGAATGTTAGCTAATGTAGGTAGTATTTATCTTGTGCCGTGCAATGTGACAAGAACTTTATATCCAATAACTCAATTAATCCCCACAAAAAACCTATGAAACAGGGACCATTATTATACCCATTTTGCAGATTGGGACTCCAAGGCTCAGAGATGTTAAGAGACTTGCCTAAAGTTTTATAACTAGTGAGTGGCAGAGGCTGAATTCCAACCTAGGCAGCCTATCCTTTTAGCATTTATACTCTTTTGCCTCTGAGGGACTCTGAACCCCATCTTATCCTATACTCACCCTTACTTTTTGCAGGAGCTAGAGCTGCAGGCCCAGATCCATGGTCTGCCGGTACCTCCCAGCCCAGGGCTGCTCTCCCTGGCCACGACTTCAGCCTCTGACAGCCTCAAGCCAGAGCAGCTGGACATTGAGGATGAGGGCAGGCCGGGCACAGCAACGTTTCATGTAGGGGGGGGACCTGCCCAGAATGCTCCCCATCAGCAGCCCCCAGCGCCACCCTCTGATGCCCTTCTGGACCTGCACTTTCCCAGCGACCACCTGGGAGACCTGGGGGACCCCTTCCACCTGGGGCTGGAGGACATTCTGATGGAGGAGGAGGAGGGGGCGGTGGGAGGACTGTCGGGGGGTTTGCTGTGGCTGGTTTGGGCTTCCTGCGCTCCCCTGCTCTGTTCGTTTTGGCCTGCTGTCTCGCTGGGTTTCCGGGGCTGCGGCAGCTTGCGCGTGGTTTTTTTTTTTTTATGGGTGGTCACGTGTCTCCTTGGGCTTGGCGACGGAGGAAAGGAGTCTATGTCTGGTTTTTTTTTTTTTTTTTTTTTCAGTTTCTCTTGTGACTTCGGTTTCCAGGTGTGTTGGGGGGCGATTAGATGTGTTCTGTCCCCATCCCTGTCCTCCTGTTAGTGTTAGGATTTTGTTGAAGCCTTGTTCCTTTCTCAATGGTAGGGCCCTTTGCTTGTTTTTCCGCTGTTGACTGCTGTTTGGGGTTTTTTTGTCTGTGCCTGTTTTTTGTGGTTCTGTGTTTTCTGTTTTCGGCTTTGGGTCCGGTCGTTGTTCATTTTCTGTTCGTGTCTTGGATGTTATCGCATTCTTGTCGGCTAGGGACTGTCCTTGTTCGTTCTCTTTGGGGTTTTGTGTGTCAGTATTCTGCTCTGTGCTTTGTTTTTTCCCCACTTGTGTGTTTCATGCTGGCACAGTCGAGGAATCAAATAATAGAGTTCCTAGCCCTGGAGGTTTAAGCCCTGCCCCTTCCCCATGAGCCCTGCCCTGCCCAGGCTAGGAACAGAAATGAGGATGAGACCCAGCCCCTTCCCCTGGGAACTCAGTCCTGGCCTTCTAGGAATGGAGGAGCCAGGCCCCGCCCCTTCCCTCCAAGGACAGCCCAGCGCAGGTATTTCAGGCGTGGAGGAGTCAGTAGGACCAGGCCACCCTGCGTGGAGATTGCAGCCCTGCCCTTGTCCCTTAGCAACATCCCATCCAAGCATTCCATACTGCAGGGAGGAGTGGTACTTAAGCTCCCCCGCCTTAACCTGGGACCAACCTAATCAAACCTTAGGAGGGTTCTGAGACAACCTTGCTCTTGGAGAAGGTGGTGGATCTTGAAGTCTTACGGATTGACTTTCCAGACCTAGATCTGGAATGAGAGTTGGGCCCCCACCCTTGGGCACAGTCTTGCCTTCTTCCTTGAGGGGCAGTTTGGGGAAGTGATGGGGATCAGCGAGGACTGAATCCAGGTTCCCAGTATTGTTTTTCAACATGTAGAGGAACAAGATGAAGGAAGGGGCCATTCCTGGGAGTTCCTCAGCCCAGGAAAAAGTGGAAGCCTCCCCCACCAAGGCAGATGATTGGGGGAGGGTTGCAAAAGCATATGGTACCCCCTCGTTTGTTTATCTGGTTTTTTTATTGACCTCCCTACTCAGAAGCTAGGTCACCCCCAACCTCTGGCCCCCACCCAGTTCTCCATTTGGAGGTATCTCCCTGTTTCAGAGTTATCAAGAGACACTCCCTGGCCATTCCCACCCCTTCTACCACCTACACCCAAGGTTGTCAGCTTTGGATTGCTGGGGCCAGGCCCCAAGTAGGGTGTACTGAGGGGTCTGTAGGTTTGTGATTAAAATAATAAACGCTAGGCGTGTTTGATGCGCTTTTAACTTTGGCAGAGAGTTTCCTGTCCTTGTTTTTAACTGTGCAGTGCACATGGTCCATGCAGGCCAGGAGGGATAAAAGTTCTTAGGAGAAACAGATTTCTGAAGGATGGGTAAAAGAATTTAGATGGGAAGAGGGGCTGGAAGAAAACAATCTGCAAACAAAAGCAATCAGTCTTTTCTATGACCTGCCAGGCACCATCCTAACTGCTACAAGCATTTCACCTAATTTATTTCTCTAAGGAGTGTTAGTCAGAAGCTGTTGCTTATTCCCATGTAGTGTTTGAGGAAGCTGAGGAATAGGATCTAAGGAACTGTTCCGAAGACATACAACCTGTGAATGGGTGAAACTCGAGACGGTAAAGTCAGGTGCGTGAGGGCACGGAATTGAAAATTGCAGCTGAGGGCAGAGGGGAAAGAAGACTTTTTTGAAAATACACATTTGAAACTAATAAGGAAGTACATAGGGTATTTCCTGACAGACAACAGAGGTGTTCAAGATGGTGGAAAGGGCAAAGACAAAAAGGTAGAGGGACAAAAAGGGCAAAGACATAAAGGTAGAGGGACAAGGCAAACAACTCAATTTTGGAACAGATGTTGAGATTTGGGGAGAATTTAAGTGGGCACAAGTATATTCTTGAAGGCTGAGAAATATTTTTTCCTGGAATTTCTCAACCAGACTCACTGCCAGGACAAGCATCAGGCTTGGTCCCTGTGTCTCCCACCAGACTGTGACCCCTGAGGGCTGCAACCAGACTTCGTCACCATGACTCCCCAGCCAGATTGCAACTACCACACTTGCCACCTCTTTCTACCCTATCATGCTGCTACCCCTCAGGCCTGGTTGCTGAAGACTGGTGGCTTCCTCATACTGTTATTTTTTTCTCCTCAACTTTGCTATACTCTCTTATTTATTTTATAAACATGACATGTAATGCCCAGAATTGGTTTGGTTTTTTTTTTTTCTTTTTTTTTGAGACAGAGTCTCGCTCTGTCACCCAGGCTAGAGTGCTGTGGCATCAACCTAGCTCACAGCAACCCCAGACTCCTGGGCTTAAGCAATCCTGCCTTCAGCCTCCCAATTAGTTGGCACCACAGGCACACAACACTGTAGGCA